TTCACTATTCTAGTGGGTGACATTTTCTTCTATGCACTTTATATAATGCACTTTGGATAATACATATTTATGTACTTTATTCTATTTACAACAGGACCTGTTTTACAGTATAATGCAATGCAGTCTAGTCATTTGAAATACTTTCTATTTTATATAGAATAGCATAAAGAACATACTTCCTCTGATCTTTGCACTTTAATATTTAGTACTTTCACATCAGCACTTTTCATGCCCAGTACATAGGCACTTTATTTTTAAATAGTAACCTATTTTTTTATCCAGCTTATTTTCATCCCCATATTCTCCTCTGTGTTTATGTGTTTAGATGGTAGAAATAGATATATCTATCCCTCCTAGTCATTTTTTTAGTTTACATTTAATATCTTTTTGTATTACCCTGGTTGCCTAGCCACCGGCAATTCACTATGTGATTATGTAATTGTGTAGGGTTTAATTTTCCCTCTCTCTCTTGTGCAAGGTTCTTTGTTTTGAACCTGAGGCATAAGACTTCGGGATTTTCACCATAACTTGTCTGATCACTCAGATTATTATGCATTTATGTGTATGTATATATATATATGATCTGCTTATGTGTGTATTTGTTTCAATAGCAACTGGTAGATGTACTTGATTCACAGCCACATTTGGGTAAGAGATCTGTCTCACCGTTTTTCACATTCTCACTCTGTCACTTTCACTGATTTTGTTCACGGTTTAGATTTTTTTCACACTATTATACTGCTTTCCATTCTTACCTAGTGGATATTCAAGCCACTATCAGTGTTCGGCTATGTGACGGATCCTGTCATGGCATGGGTTTCAAGGTAGGGCTTAGTCTTGCTTGGGAATGATAAAAGGAGTCTTTGTTGTTTCAGGTTGTTAGAATTATATGGACAAAAAGGAGCTAAGCATTTGTTTGTTTTGGTGGGGCTTAAGCAATAAAAAAAGAATAATGGAAAGAAGATGGGGAAATGTATGTACTGTTAATTACCCTATTGTATGCAAATGACCCTCTGTCGCTATAAATACCTCTGCACAGTTGCAGAAAGTCAGTTCTTGTCCCCAGCACTATGTGTCGTCTAGTGTCGGTGGAGAGCTATAATCACTGAAATGCGATTTTCTCCTGGAATAAGAAAACTGTAATGGAAGTACTGAGTACCGGCTGAGTACTGAGGTTTGCTACAGGCTACAATTTGTTGAGGTGAGTTGTCCCCATGGAAACAAGGGGCGTGTTTACAGTCTCCATATTAGGGAAGGAGTTAACAAGAAAACTACAGTGGAGGTACTCAGCCTGAGTACTGAGGTTTGCTACAGGCTATTATTTGTTTAGTTGTCCCCATGGTAACAAGGGGCATGTTTACACTCTCCATATTAGGGAAGGAGTTAACAGTCGAATCCTGATATTGGCTCTACTAAGACATATTCTACCACACTTTAGATTTAGCAAAGTTGGGATCCCATTGCACCAGCACAATTATGTAGTTGTAATATATGGTGATTGAGCTCTCCAAACATATCCACAGTAATACATGTGGAATTCCACTGCAACCAGGGAGGCGTAAAGCTTGCATATGATGTCACAGGAGAGGAGCTTGCCAGTACTATGCCCCCTATAGGTAGAGAAATATTATAATGGAGAAATACATTACAAAAATCACGAACTTTTATTAGAATATCCTCCTCTTTAGCTGGAACAGGATTCTTTTTTTTGTATCAAAGAAAGAAGGAAATTTGAGGCTGTGTATAGACTACAGGGGTTTACACCATATTACAGTTCATAACACCTATCCTATTACCTCAATAACTGAATTATTTGATCGCATAAAGAGTTCAAAGTAGTTCACATAACTTGAGAGGGACATATAACCTGGTCAGGATACGAGAGGGAGATGAATGGAAGACTGCCTTTAATACTCGTACTGGGCAGTATGAGTATTTGATTATGCCTCTGCAATCTTCCAGGATCTTATAAATTATGTCTTACATGATATATTACCCAGATTTGCTGTAGTACACCTTTGATGACATTCTGATCCATTCCCCTGGTCTCCACTCTCATCACCGACATGTCAGGATGACCAGGTTACTCACTAATGGTATCTTCTGCAAATTAGAATAGTGCCTCTTTAATCAGAAGACTGTTCAATTCCTTGGTTGTCTTATTTCTGAATCAGGGTTTAGCATGGATCCTACAAAACTAGAGGCAATACACTCATGGCAACTTCCACGGGGCTTGAAGCCATCCAAACGCTTTATAGGCTTTACTAATTATTATAGGAAATTCATTAAAAACTTTTCTAGTATTATTGCTCCTGTTACTCAGATGACTAAAAAAGGTATTAACCCACACAATTGGATACCAGAGGCTTTTGAAGCCTTGAAATCTGCTTTTTCTATTGCACTTGTTTTGGTACACCCTGACACTGCCTTACCTTTTATCGTTGAGGTTGATGCCTCGGAATCCGGAGAAGATTCTGTCTTGTTACAAAGAAAGATACACCCATGCTGCTCATATTCTAAGAAATTGTTCAAACTCGGAAAGGAAATTCGACATATATATTGTATTGGCTTTTAAAGAATGTAGACATCTACTGGAAGGGTCTAAACATCCCGTATTTGTGATAACTGATCATAAAAACTTATATATAGCAAAAGCAAAACAGTCATCTAAACAAGCCCATTGGTCCTTGTTCTACGTTTAAATTTATCATAACACATAGACCTGGGTATTGTAACATTAAAGCAGACGCTTTGTCACAACAATTTAAATCTATAGAATTGGAAGACAAAGAACCACAACCTCCTGCTAACATTATTGCTGCTACTTGTATCACAATATCCTCTAATATGCTTGAAAGGGTAAAGACATTTCAAGACCAAGCACCATCCAATAGACTCTGATAGATTTTATGTCTTGAAAGAAATAAAATATTATCTATATATCATACTGCTAAAACACCTGGACATCCAGGTATAAACAAAAAAATACAATTCCTTACATCAAAAGTATTGGAGGCTTTAAAAAAAGGACATAATAGAGTTTATTCAAGCATGTGTTAGTTGTGTACAATCCAAATCACTCACTCAGAAGCCAGCAGGTTTGCTCACACTTTTGCCTATATCCAAAATGCTGTGGACACAGTCATACACAATGCTGTTGCCAAATTTTCTAAAATGGCCCATTTCATTCCGCTTAAAAAGTTAACTACGGCTGAACTCTAGGCCAAAATTTTTCATAAATATTCAGATTGTACGTTATACCCCTAGAAATGGTTTCTGTCAGGGGATCTTAGTTCATTTATTATTATTATATTTATAGAGCGCCGTCAAATTCTGCAACGCTTTACAATGGGTGGACGAACAGACATGTAGTTGTAACCAGACAAGTTGGACACACAGGAACAGAGGGGTTGAGGGCCCTGCTCAATGAGCTTACATGCTAGAGGGAGTGGGGTAAAATGACACAAAAAGGTAAGGATAGTATTAGACTAGTGACAGTTGCAGAAGAGGAATCAGTCAGGAGCTATTAACAGTTTAATTGATACGCTTTTATGAAGAAGTGGGTTTTTAACGATTTTTTGAAGGAATGGAGACTGGGTGAGCATCTAACGGAGGAGGGAAGCGAGTTCCACAGGAACGGTGCAGCCCTTGAGAAATCTTGAAGGCGAGCATCAGAGGTGGGAGTACGGACAGAAGATAGATGTAAGTCTTCAGCAGATCGTAAGGGCCTAAACGGGACATACTTGTGTATAAGGGAGGATAGATAGGTGGGAGCAGCATTATGTAGAGATTTGAAAGCAAGAACCAGAATTTTAAATTGAGCTCTATATTTTATAGGAAGCCAATGTAGGGATTGACAGAAGGGTGAGGCATGGGAGGTGCGGGTGGACAGGAAGATGAGCCTCGCCGCCGCATTCATTATGGACTGTAACGGCGCTAGTTGGGAGCACATAAGACCACTGAGAAGCGGATTACAGTAGTCAGGGCGAGAAAGGACAGTGGAATGGACCAACACCTTAGCCGCATCTGGCGTTAAGTAGGGGCGGATGTGCGCAATGTTTTTTAGATGGAAATGACAGGATTTGGCGATAGATTGAACATGAGGCTTGAAGGAGAGGTCGGAGTCAAAGAGAACACCTAGGCAGCGAGCCTGCGTGGTGGAGCTGATGGTAGCACCGTTGACTTGGAGGGAGACAGACACAGGAGTAACAACACTTGAGGGAGGAAAGACCAGAATTTCAGTTTTGGTCAAGTTTAGTTTAAGGAAGTGGGCAGCCATCCAGTTAGAAACAGCAGAGAGGCAGTCAAAGACACTAGTCAAGAGGGACGGGGAGAGATCAGGAGAGGACAGGTAGATTTGCGTGTCATCTGCATAGAAATGATATTGGAAGCCAAAGGAGCTAATGAGTTTACCAAGGGAGGCAGTATAGATGGAGAACAGTAGGGGACCAAGGACTGAACCTTGGGGGACACCAACAGAGAGGAGTTGGGGAGAAGAAGCAGAGCCAGAAAAAGAAACACTGAAAGAGTGCTGGGAGAGGTAGGAGGAGCACCAGGAGAGAGCAGTATCTTGTAGACCGATATTGCGGAGGATGAGAAGAAGCTGTTGATGATTTACCGACTCTGGAGGTTTTTTTTCTCGGAGATGGGTATCCAACTTTCATTCTCTTCCACATATCATCCTCAGATAAACAGAGCTGCTAAGTGAGCTAACCAATCTCCGGAATTGTATTTCAACTGCTTTTCTTTTGAGCATCAGGATAATTGGACTGGCCTGCTCTTATGGGCCGAATTTCCTAGAAATCCCACTCCTCATGCTTCTACTGAACTAAGTAATTTCCTCCTAGCATATAGTGTGTTACCCAGTATCCTTCCTAGTGACTTTTTGGACAGGGGAATACCTGATTTGGACACAGACCTTGCTAATCTGCGTAAAATATGAGAAAATGTACAGGACATCTTGTCCCAGAAAAAATTACGCTGTTTGCCTTCGTGTGCCGACTCCGTCTTGCCGAGTGAAAGGGTTTAGTTACCCTAAAAAATGTTATGTCTTTGAGTCCAGTCCATGAAATGTGCCCCTAGATTCATTGGATTAACCCTGTCTCAAACTGTGGAGTTAACTCTGCTCATACCACATTGCAGGTAATGCGGATTAAAATCCCCATTTAAAGGGCTGTATATAATGTTCACTTTGAGCAGAAAGTATCTGACAGTCAGGGACCACTAAAATGGCCCCAGCTGAAATAGTGGATGGAGATCTGGGAATCCTTGGTGTAAGCAGTTATTTAATCCAGTTCACACCAAAACAGCATTAATGCCTAGTATTGTTAAGACCTATTGACATGCCCTAATGTTGTTAAGTGGTTCATAAAGCTAGATGCATAAAAGTTAAAGCTTAATTTATTGTCCTGTATTGTCACATTTTTATAGAAGCTTTAAAACAGCGCTGTAATTTTGCATTTTTTTTATTTTAATATAAAATTTTATTATATTGTCCCTCTCTCTTTTAACATTTTCTTTTATTACCCGTAGCTTTTTTTTTAGATATTCATAAAATGAAGAAGCACTTAGGTTTTCATAGAACTTAGTCAAAGTACCATAAAATGCATTTGAAAAACTGCTACATGTAGTGATGGACAAAAAGCACACTTATAATGATGAAAATGTATTGGGAGAACAGTCAGGCACCAAAGTGCTTGTTTGGTTCAAGGTCACCAACGGAGCTGCTAACATGGACAAAGCAGGACTAAGGCGGGACCCAAGAATTGGGACTGTTCTGCCAAAATTGGGACTATTGGGAGGTATAGTATCTGATGGGGGGGACCTTGAGTCTGTCACAGGTGATTAGGTATTTTTAACTTGTGCTTGATTATCACTGCTTACCTAACATTTAAGGCTCAAAATATCAACATGGTGCTCTTCAAAAAGCTGGCTTCTACTTAACAATATTTAGCAGATAGTTGTTGTTTCTATTGGCAAAGGTTTAAATGGACACTGTAAGCACCATAACAACTCTAGCTTAAAGGGGAGGTATAGGAACCAAAACAACTGTAGATATCCTGTTTTGTCCACTCAAACAGTGCTCCCTCCAGGGAGAGCCATCAGCGCGCCAGCTAAAACTATTGGTAGTAATGTCAGTGGATACGCCACCATTCTGGGCCAGTCATTCCCATTTTTGTGCAGATCCGCCTTCTTTTGGAAATTACCTCGCTGACCCACTCCTTTTATCCCATCCTCCCACCTGCATCCAAATTCTGGGACTGCTGATGTTGGGCGACATTAGATACGAATACAACAAATACAGTTATAAATAGAATAACAAATAAAAGTATTATATTGGCTTCATATTCCTTAATTACAAAATAATGTTTAGTGTCAACTTTTTAAATCGTGACATATTATGCAGCACATATTCTGACTATGCAATTCTTCAAATAGCATATGTGGAGCTGTTCTTCCTAAGATGGCTTGTACACCCCACGCCTATGTGCTTGTATACATTCTGTCAGCAAGCAAGGTGCGTACATATGCAGAGGATTTACATACACACTAAGAATAATAACCACTTAAGGACCGGCCTGTTTTTGCGATGTTGTACGTTAAGGACCAGAGCGGTTTTAACACTTTTCTGGTGTTTGTGTTTAGCTGTAATTTTCTGCTCTCTCATTTACGGTTCCCACACAAATTATATATTGTTTTTTTCAGGACAAGAAAGGCTTTCTTTAAATACCATTATTTGTATCAGGTCATATATTTTACTTTAATTTTTTTTTTATAAAATATGGTGAAAAATTGAAAAAACAAACATGTTTTTGGACTTTTACTTGAAAAATCTTTTAATTATCTACAAAGGCTAATTAAAAAAAAACTGCTAAATAGATTAAAAATTTACATGCTTTTTTTTTGCAAGTTATAGGGCTATAAGTACAAGCAGGAAATTGCTCTTTCAATATATATATATATATATATATATATATATATATATATATATATATATATATATATATATATATATATATATATATTTTACATTTATCAATAGTGACATTGTAACACTGTTATCTGTCATAAATCCCCGAATCACACCCCACATGTACATTTTTTTTAAAGTAGACAACCCAGGGTATTTAATATGGGATATGGCCAGTCTTTTTTAGTAGCCACTTAGTCACAAACACTGGCCAAAGTTAGCATTTATATTTGTTTGTGTGTTAAAAATGTAAAAAACGCTAACTTTGGCCAGTGTTTGTGACTAAGTGGCTACTAAAAAAGTCTGAACATATCCCATTTGCAATACCTTGGGTTGTCTTCTTTTGCAAATGGTATGCCATCATGGGGGTAATTCTCATTCCTGGGATACCATACGCTCTCAAAGGCAAAATTACCAATCTGACAAATTTCAATGAAAAAAATGAAGCCTTATATTTGACCCTGTAACTTTCAAAAGCATTATAAAACCTCTACATGTGAGGTACTGTTATACTCCGGAGACTTCGCTGAACACAAATAATAGTGTTTCAGAACAGTAAAACCTATCACAGCAATAATATCAGTGAAAGTGCCGTTTGTGTGTGAAAAATGCCAAAAACTTCACTTTCACTGACCATGTCATCGCTGTGATATGTTTTTTTTTTTTAATTTATATTTTTTATTGTATCATAGCATTTGTACAGTTATCTCTCATAGTTTTGCTACATTTTAAATGCAACCTTTGCATACAGTGTCACAGGTAACAGGTAAACATAACAGTCGAGGTAAAGCATAGGTACAGTGATGTACAAATAGTTATACATAAGATTTCTAGCTCGTGGTTGCATGGTATTAGTAAGAAAAATTAACATTTGGTTGTTGGAGATAGCTTCCTTTTGTTGGGTATGAGCAAACTGGGAGGTACATGGCAATGCGGTTCGTGGGTGGTCTATTGGGCGGCGGGCCTGCTGGAGAAAGATTATAAAAGTGGGATGGGACATGGAGCAATATCTGAGGATGTTAGCCTAATGGGTATACACCTGTGACATGCAGTCCAAGTTATAATGTACTTGCGGTATTCAGGTTTTCGGCTGAGGGGTGCCTGCAGCACCGCTCGTTCTTGGGAAAAAGGGTTGGATTCTCTTGACGTCCCATATCCTGGATGTGGTTGCTGGTGTCTTTGCTGCGGAGGTAGTGCTTGTAGTGGCCTCCAGGGATATTCCCAAGGATTACAGAAATATTACAGAGTCACTTGCTTGGGTGATGTGTACTCTTTTGCCTTCATTGCTGACAGACAGCCTGCACCCTGGTCCCCATCTGTATTGTATCCCCTTGGTTCTCAGTAGTTGGGTGATGTCTTTCATGGAGTGTCGCCCTGGAGAGGTCATTATAGAAAGATAGCTCAGAACCTTCAAACTCATATTAGTTTCTCGGGCGGCTTCTTGTACTAGTAGCTTTTCCCAGAGAGATTGAAAGACAATAAGTAGATCCCGTGGGACGTCAGCTGGGGCTCTTGGTGGTTTAGGTATGCGAAAGTGAAACTCCAGCAAGATGGATTTTGCTTTAGCTTGAAATAGCAGGGAGGCTAGTAATCTGCGTAAGTAGTGTGTGACCTTAGGGTCTTGCACAGCTTCGGGTATCCCCCGTGTCCTGAGGTTTCGCTGGCGCTTAGCATCTTCCAGTGCTGCCACTTTATTTTCCAATATAGTGCTGGTCTTCTTCAGTTGGGCCATTTCCCTTTGCAGGGTTTCTATTTTGGCTGTTGTAGCAGCTTCATTCACCTCCACAGCCTGTATGCGGGCTGTCATGGCGCTCAGATCTTCCCTGATTAGAGCCACGTCTGCTGCTGATTGGGCTTTGAGCTCCTTGAGCAGATGGATGATGTCTGCTTTGCTTGCCGGCATTTGTTCAGGAGGTGGAGTACTCTCCCTTCTAGTGCTCCTTCTCTTTGTCGTTGCTTCAGCGGCCTCCTCCATACTGTCATCTGAGGAGTGTTCAGAGGCTTCCTGCGCGGGCACCATCTTGGCAGGCCGCGGGGTTGCTCGAAGTAAATCGACGATATTTTGAGAGGACGGCATCGCCTCATTATGGAGCTGCTTGGATTTGCGTCCCATTGTGTCCTGACCAGCGTTGGTAGTGATTGGGTTTTACGGAACTGCCGATTTCGTCCTTTGTAAGTGGATTTCTCCCGGAGCTCAGTGCTCGCACGTCTGCTTGGGTTGCTCGCTAGCTCTGCCCCGCACTGTGATATGTTTTACTGTTTTGAAAGACTAATTTTTGTGTTCAGCGTAGTCTCCCGAGTAAAACAGTGCCCCCCATGTACAGGTTTTAGGGTGTCATAGAAAGTTACAGGGTTAAACATAGTGCTAGCAAATTAAATTCTCTGGACTTTCGGCCTGGGTTCTCAGGCATGTCCCTCAAATTGCAATCAATAAAATTACTTAATTATGTAATAATTACATGAATTTGCACATAGAATTTAAATATATATACATATTTATATATTTGAAGTCTACGTGTATATTTATGAAATTATTTATGTAATTATGTATATGGACATATGTATATTTCGTATTATTTTTTTTTATATACATAGATATATATATATATATATATATATAATTTCATTCTAAGTGTATTTTGATATAAATATAAAGATAAAAACACTGTACCTTGCACTCAAACTCCAGTTCCCACACCGGGTGCACTCCCAGGGCTCCAAGTATCCAACTGATTATATCAAAAGGTTGCACTCACGGATTCAGTAAAAATTAACTTTTATTCAGTCTTCTTATTAAAAAAAAAAAAAAAAAAAAAAAATCCTCAAGGGGATGTTTCCGATGACGGT